CTGAGGCCTGAAGTTTGTTTGAGACCAGCCTGAGCAACGTAGTGAGACTCTGTCTCTACAAAAAGAAAGAAAAAAATTAGCCAGGTGTGGTGGCGTGTGCCTGTAGTCCTAGCTACTCAGGAAGCTAAAGAAGAACCCAGGAATCTGAGGTTCCAATGAGCTATGATCATGCTTATGACCCAGCAATTCCATTCCTAGAAACTTACCCAAGAGGAATGAAAACATAAGTCCACACAAACACTTGCATGCAAATGCTCACAGCAGCGTTATTCATAAGAGCCAGAGAACAGAAACAACCCAAACGTCATTCAATTTGTCAACAGATAAACAAAAGGTGGTTATCCATACAAAAGAATGTTCACCAATAAAAAGGAACAAAGTACTCATACATACTACAATGTGGATAAACCTCAAAAACATTATGCTAAAGAAGCAAATAATCTGATTTAAAAACGGACAAATGAGGGTGGGCACGGTGGCTCATGCCTGTAATCCTAGCACTTTGGGAGGCCGAGGCGGAAGGACTGCTTGAGGTCAGGAGGTTGAGATCAGCCTGAGCAAGAGCGAGACCCCATCTCTACAAAAAATAAAAAATTAGCTGGGTGTGGTGACATGTTCCTGTAGTCCCAGCTATTTGGGAGGCTGAGGCAGAAAGATCACCTGAGCCCAGGACTTTGAGGTTGCAGTGAGCTATGATGATGCCAGTGCACCCTAGCCCAGGCAACAGAATGAGACCCTGGCGAGAAGAGAAAAAAATGGGCAAATGAGCTGAAGATATTTCTCAAAAGAAGATACATATGAATGGCCAATGAGTGTATGAAAAAATGCTCAACATCACTAAGCATGAGAGAAATGCAAATAAAACCACAATGGGAACGCTATTATCAAAAAGACAAAAACCAGGCCCGGCATAGCGGTGCACACCTGTGTTCCCAGCTACTCGAGAGACTGAGGCAGGAGTATGCTTGAGCCCAGGAGTTCGAGGCTGTAATGCACTATGATCAAGTCTATAAATAGCCACTGCACTCCAGGCTGGGCAGCATAGCGAGACCCCGTCTCTAAAAGAAAAAAGAAAGAAAGAACAATAAACACTGTCAAAGACGTGGAGAAAAGGGAACTCCTGTTGGTGGGCCTGTAAATTAGTGCAGCCATCATGGAAAATAATATGGAAGTTTCTCCAAAAAACTAAAAATAGAACTAGAATGTGATCCAGCAATCCTACTACTGGGTATTTATCCAAAGGAAAAGAAATCAGTATATCAGAGAGATATCTGCACCCCCGTGTCTACTGCAGCACTATTCACAATAGCTAAGATACATATTCAACCTAAGTGTGCATCAGCAGATGAATGGAGAAAGAAACTATGGTGTATACACACAGTGGAATATTATTCAGCCATAAAAATGAGTAAAAGCTTGTCTTTTGCACCAATATGATGAGCCTGGAGGACATTGTGTTAAGTCAATTAAGTCAGGCACAGAAAGATAAACACCACATGTTTTCACTCATATGTGGGGAGCTAAAAAAAAAAAGTTGAGCTCACAGAAGTAGAGAGTAGAATAGTGGTTACTAGAGGCTGTGAAGGGGAGAGGGAGACAGGGAGAAGTTGGTTAACCAGTACAAAATTACAGCTAGACAGAAGGAGTAAATGCTAGTGCTGTATAGCACTGTGACTATAGCTAACAATACTTTATGGTGTATTTTCAAATAGCTAGAGGATTTTGAATGCTCTCAACACAAATAATAAATGCTTGAGGTGACGGACATGCCAGCTAGCCTGATTTGATCATTATACACGGTACACGTGAACGGAAATATCACTCTGTGCCCTACAAACACGTGGAATTATCACACATCAATTTATTTAATAAGAAACACACTATGCTAAGTACAAGAAGCCAAATGAAAAGATTACATACTGAATGATCCCACATACATAAAACGTCCAGGAAAGGCAGATTTACAGAGTCAGAAAGCAGACCAGTGGTTTTTCTGGGGCTGGGTGGGGCGGCCAGGGTTTGATTGCAAACAGGATTGAGAAAATTTTGAGGAGTTATGAAAATGCTCTAAAACTGGATTGTGCGATGGCTGCACAACGCCATAAATTTACTATAAATCACTGGATTACACTTACAAGGGGTGGACTTTATATATGTAAAATATACCTCGGCAAAGCAGCCACCCACCATCTCCCACCAAAAAAAAACTTTACTGCAGAGAAAATAAGGTGAACTGTGCTCATTTCTTCAAACTCGGTGCTTTGACTATGTTTTACTGGATAAAGAGGGCCATCTTTAACATATTGTAGACTCGTCACTATTAACCAGATGTGGAGTTAATTAAACACTCTTGTGATTATTTTGTTTGAGAAGAATCAAATCTCCTCCAGATGTAAGACGCTTAGAAGTCCCAGTTCCATATACTACCAAAATCTATGGAGAAATGCTGCCAATGGAAATATTTTCAAGAAGCCCTTGTTAGTTCAGATAGTTTCTCGCTTGAGCCACTCGGCAAGCAGCCCTCATGATGTGCTTCCAGGATGAGAGGACCGTTCTTCAAGAGTATTTACTTTGTAAACTAACAAAAGTGATTGAAGAAAAACAGGCTTGGGTTTGCCTCTTATCAGGAAACACCAAAAAAAATCACTCCTGCCATTCAAGAAGTCATCTCAAAAGACTTCAAATGTCCAGTGTAAAGACTCCTGGACTCTCCTCTCAAAAGACAGGTGAGAAAACAAATGTCACATTATCATGACACTGAATGAGAATGGGATCCGTCCTTTAAACTAAAATGCCTGTTCAGAAATCCTTTGTTAACTCTGCTCTGAAAATGGTAATGCATGAATTATTCCCTTTAGAGTGTACTTCTGAGCCTGTTTTGCCAAGATAGGAAGATCTTCAGCGCCAAGAAACAGAATAAGCCGTTTTCTGTACAGGACTTGCTCTTGTGATCAAAGAGTTGTCACTGGATCAACAAATTCATCAACAAAGAAGATTCAATGAAAGTACCTCTCCTAACACTGTAAACTTCTTTTCCTTGTCACATAATTATGCAGAATATGTCTTAAAAATGCATTTATCATCTCAACACAGTATTCCTCCCCCACCCCCGCCCCCCACAAAATGCATTTATCAGGGACATGCACCATTAATCCCAAAGATACCAAGCCAATCTGGTCAAAGAAACCCAACAGACACTTAATCTTTAGTGTGTTCAAATCATAAATGTGCCAAGGGTTGTACCATAGCCAATGTATTACACAACCCAGGGGGTATGATTAATTCTGTAATCTAGAGTGAAGAGTGCTTCTTGGAATTACGCAGTGCACAACCTGTGCAGCTGTATATGGTGGTCCTGGGATTAGCCATCTCATAAAAACAGAGATTCATAATTATAGCATTTTCAGAGGAAGTATGTGAAAATGAAAGAGATGAAAGAAAAAATGACAGTAAGACCCTGAAGGCAGGCCTCTGAAAACCCTAATTATCCATAAAGGAGTTTTACACAGGAAGTTCTGGGACAAAAACCAAAAAGATCACTAGACCTGACCTGGATGACTATTTTTAGAGCCTTCACTTTCTGGTCTGAGGCCCAAGCATCCTTCAGCGACTGGTTGAGCTCCTCTATGCGGTTCACGTAATCCTGCTGAGTCAAATTCAACAGCTCCTTCTGGGAACCCTGCGGGAAGAGGGTAGAAAGTGAACGGATAGTAGGAAAAACATTGTTCCACCACCACCCCCACGAAGAATACTGGGTATTAGCTGAGATTTAGTCCCCACCAGGTTCTTTGAGTTTTCTGACAAAGGTGGGCAGAGTGCAGTGGTTGAGACTGGCTTCGGAGCAAGTCAGACCTAAGCCACCTCCCAGCTCAGCCACTTACTAGCTGTTCGATTTTCGGTTTGCTGCTTTCTTCCCTGCACCTTATCTGTGAATTGCGATAACAGGACTTATCTCATGCAACTGTTATTAGGCCTACTGTGTGCCAGGCATGGTACTAGATGCTTGAGATGCAAAGACATTTTTCTCAAGATTCCCAAGCAGAGACATTATGGTTGACCCTTGAATGACAGAGGTTCGAACTGTGTGGGTCCACTCAGACACAATTTCTTTCTGCCTCTGCCACCCCTGAGACAGGAAGACCAACCCCTCCTCTCCCTCCACCTCCTCAACGTGAAGACAATGAGGATGAAGATCATTATGATGATCCACTTCCACTTAATCAACAACAAATATATTTTCCCTTCCTTATGGTATTTTTTTTTTTTTTTTTTTTTTGAGA